ACTGCAGTGCTTTCAGCTCCCAGGTCTGAGAAAATGCATTTGGATGAAAACCCCAGGTGATCCCAAGACTCAGAGCATCTATCATTTCTTGCCTTATTGTTGTCTGCACAGCCTTGTGACAATGTCACTTGCAGTAATAAACCAGTGGCCTAAATCGGGCTTGTGCTTTTCAAGTGAGAAAGGATTTAAAATCTCAGGCTGCTTCTATCAACTCCCACTTTCCTCCTCCCCCCCGACACTCCAATGACTTCAAGATGATCAAGAGACATGATCATCTTGTCTCTTTGCATGACTGTTTCGGGGAGGGGAGGAGGGATAGAATGATGCAGAAATACATCATAGGCCTCTATGCATTTGGATGTGAATGCAGTGGTCAAGCAGTCATTAGTGATCTGCTTGGGGTTCCCTCCTTTGCTATCCTGTTCCTTGGTGAGTCACTTACAGGGTCCCTAAACAAGCCAATTAGCTGAGAGGGGGAGTGTGTGATAGAGGCTTCCAAGAGATCTCCAAAGTGTCATCACTCCCCCGCCTGAGACTCCTTCTCACTGAGAGTAATTATCTTCACCAGGTAGAGATAATTGCCATACATGTTGCTATAGCCTATGATCTGGATTGGAAGGAGTGTTTTGAAAACTGAAATAAGTTCTCATTTTCCCCAGTTCTCCTAGGACCTTCCAACCTCCCCCTTACCCCACCCGCTCTCCCTTGTTCTCCTTACTAAAATTACTTTCAACCAGAAAAGCACTGACCCTGTAGGGGTCGATGGAGAGGTGAACTCTGAGAGAAGACTTCTCATCATTCATTTGGAGGGAAGGGGGTCTTGGTTTGAGACCACATGGTCGGGGAGGATTGGTCTGAGCCATGGGTTTGCCTGAGTGACCCTAGAGAATGAGATGTATAAAATAGAGGACACTAAGATCCACTCAGAGCTAGATGCCTCTGGAACTGTGGTCCCATGGTTTCCAGAAGCTCCCTCCCTCTTGGATTCACTTTTGAATCCTTCCTTTCCCCATCCTTATAAATCCCTTCAGTCAACAATTCCTATCATTTCCAGTTTCTAAGTAGACCATAAATCAACATCTATAATCTGCCTTATAATCTCCATCACTATAACTTCCCCTAGATAGGATAGCTGTGAGGGCCTCTTGTCTGGTCCTTCGTCTACTGTGGACTCTTCTCTGCCTTTAGTTCGTTTTCCTCATAGCTCCCACGGTGGTATTTTAGAATGCAAATCAGTTTTTCTTTTGCTTAACACTCCCCCAATGGCTTTCCAAATCTATACATGGCCATGGCCTCTATGATCTAGCCTCTGCCTACTTTCTACTTCTCCAATACTATCTCAAACTCCAGCTCTCTTCATTTACTACTAACCAGACATACAGATTGCTCCCTCAGCACTAAGAGAGCACTAGACTTTTTTTCCCACCTGTGGGCCTTTGCACATGGCTATTTATGCCTCTTGACTCAATACAAGCCTAGCTCCCTCTTACCCAATAGGTCCTCAGAGAAACCGCCTCAGAACACTCCTAGTAAAGTATTCTTTAATTCTACTTCCTTTATCATCAGTAGGTTCATTTTATTCACAGCTCTTTACAATTTATACATTCATGATTGCTTGTTTAATGTCTGTGTACTCCACCATACTGCCAGATTTGTGAGGCAAAGGCTCCCAACCGCCTTGCTCCATCATCAGTATACCTTCAGATGCTTACCAACTAGAATTCCATCCTGCATGCCATAGACCATTAGTGAGGTCTGTTGCATAAGTAAATGATGTTGGTCACAAACAGGAATAAAAGGTATAAAAAGTTAAGTTGGGGAAAGTAAAGATAAATTTAGTCTGCAATGATTTTTGTTTCTCTTGTAGTATATCCCTTCTCAAAATGTTCCTCTGTATGGAAGAAGGAATTTAAAGTATCTATTAAAAATAGATCTTTGGGTATAAGAATCAGGCCTACATAGTCCTTTCATGAATAGCTTTCTGACCTCATTATCAACCTAATAAAAAAAATTATAATCTGTTTTTTTTTTCTTTTCAGTGTTAAAAGAGGTTACCAATAAACAATCTATCATATAAACATTTCAAAGGAAGGGGAGGAGTCTTTAAAGATTTCACTTGCAGACATAGTGCCATGCTTATCTGAGGCACAAAGAAGCAGGTAAACGAGGACGTTTCTGTTGATGTTATTACTGACTGCTTGGCCTCTGCCCTGATCACTGTCTTAGTTAGCAACCTCGTCTTTTGCCTGGCCCAAGGTACGATGAGGTTTCCCGACTCTTCAAGGGTTTCTGCAGGCTCTTAGACTCTGGGATTGGGCAAGGTGGGCTTGATAAGGAAAAGTCTGTCTGAAGCAGGTAAAACTCCTTATTATAATTGTTTATTCCTGTGGCAAAATCACAAAGCCTTCCTCCCTGTTCCCATGAGGACGAGCTCCAAGAATCCAGATGCGGCTTGTCTTTAGACTGAGCTGTTAGTTATTTCTGCTTTGTCTCGGGACTTGCCCGGAAAAGGTACTATGTTTCCCAATCAGTGTGAGCAGTGGCATCCTTTCTTTTAGTGAATTTCAGCCAATGTCCAATAAATAAAATCAATAAAAAATAGTATCCTCTTTATAGGTTTCCTATGTGACCCCTGCTACAGGTTTTATATGTATCATTCTCTTTTAAACCTCACAACACTTGCAGAACTGTGATTTCCATTTTACCAGTGAAAATCCAGGGGCAGAGTGGGCTAGGTTTAGTAAAGCTAGGAAGGAGGGTGGCTGTTCAGTCTCCTCTTCACCTCCAGGTCACTTCCTAAGAGATCTCAGTGGGACCCTCAGGATCCAGGGAACACTGTTTGAAAATCCTCTTGTGGCTAGAGTCACAGACTCAAATACTCTCAGGGGCCGGCTGAGTGACACAGGATTGAAGGTCAGGTGGGGACTAGGCTGACCTGGTGAATGCATGATTCTGCAGAAGAGGGGTGGCTTCCACTCAGTTTTGGACAACCATTATCAAACTCATACAGATAAAAACTGAAACAATACATGACAAAGATTTCATTTTATGAACCTTGAGCTTGAGATTCTCAGGATGGAAAAGACATCCTGAGGTCAGACCACAAGGGTGCTGTTAAGAGGTGGCTGCCGACTCATGAAGGAAATGACAGAGAAAACAAGCCCATGGCATCTGCTTGTTTTGATGACCCTAGTTAGTATACTGCTGACTAGATCAGAGTCATTTCTTCCCACTGTTTATCCGCTGGCCTGATTTATTTTTAAGCAAGCCCTTCCCCTGCTTGGTTCTTTCTATTCTTCACCATGTGTTTGCCAGTGTTGGCCAAGCATCCAGTCTCACACTTCCTCTCCCACATCGCCTGCACCCCCCGACTGTCTTCTTATTTAAAGAAAAACAAGATTATAATGGTAAAGGATGAAACTTTCCAAATTATACAGCAGGCAAAATAAGTCCTGGGGAAAGGTGGTTAGGAACAGTTTAAGGTATCCCTGCTTAGGAATATGGGTCCTCATAGACGGGGTAAACGTGCCTCCAGACACTTCAGTGAGACCTGATGTTTATGCGCTCAAGCCCAGGATCTATCCACAGAGGCCAAATGCTAAACTGTGCCTCCCTGAAATTTGGTAATCTACATGGGAATGCCTCCTAGAAAGAGGCATTAAACCATTGCAAAAGGAAAAACAGCCAGTGCTTATTTAGCAGGCCAATTAGAGGGGATCTATGGCATGAGCACTCTAGAATATAGACAAAAGAACATTACACATAACAATAGGAGGTCAGCAAATGTGGGAATTGGTCCAGATTGGTAGTGTTCAGATTTCTTTTTCTCTCTTTTATTCTTTCTACTTTTCCTCTTTTCTTAGCTTCAGAACTGCTTGTTTCCTAGCAAGTGTGAGGCACTGGGTTCAATCCCCAGTATCACAAAAACAAATAAACAAAAACCACCCCCTAAAGTTCCCATTTTTTTCCAAATAAATTGTATTCAACAGTTCAATATATAAAATAGACAAAAGTAGAGCTACTCTGGTTCTAGGTGACACACTAAAATTTTAGGAATTTAGCTACTTGAGTACATTTTTGATTTTTTTTTTGTGGTACTGGGATTTGAACTCAGGGCCTTATCCTTGCCAGGCAAATATTCTATCATTTGAGCTACACCCTAGCCCCTTTTTGCTTTAGTTATTTTTCAGATAGTGTCTTGCATTTTTTGCCCTGGGCAGGCCTCAGACCTTGATCCTCCTACCTCTGGCCTCCTGTGTAGCTGAGATTACAGGCATGCCTGGCTACCCTACCATGTTCAACATGACACTGAGGCATCTCTGAGAAGGACAATTTTTGGACGACAAGAAACAAATTTAAATCACCACTGGAATTAGAGTTTCTTAGAACCTACAAAAGGAAACCCCTTCCTTTTTCAGATGAAGAAGCTGAGGTCTACCAGGGTGAAGTGCCTTGTCTAAGGCCACACAGAGAGTCCATGTGCTACAGTTTGTGCTTCAACACAGTCCAATGCACCTCCACCATTCATGGTAGATAGGATGAATGTCACTTACCTACCTAATGGCTGCCTAACCTTGGCAAGATATTCCACATTCCTGGGTTCCTCGTCTATAGAACGAGGTATCATAGGAGTCCCACCTTCTGCCTCTGTGAGCTCTCTGTGAGATGGTGCACATGCAGGATTCAGAGCCTCGCGTGGCATATGGCCAATGCTCTATAAATGTTAGTTGTACTACACTGTCTCCCCATTCTATCTCTGTGCCTTTCATTTACTGGACATTGGTGGTGATTATGCCCATTAATCATGACAAGAGTACAGTAACCAGATAGCAGACAGAGCTGGCCCAGCCATGGATGCAACCAGATAATCCACAGCAAACAGTGGATAGCTGACTATACAAAGCAGGTGAAAAACTGAATGCAATCAAGTCTGGAAATAATTCCCACCTCTAAATTTCTAGTACCTTTTTCCAAGAAAAATATAACATTGAGCAAAGGAGTTAAGAGGAGCCAACTGACCTGGGAGAAATGTCACATCCTTGCTGCATGAAGGCTCCTAGAGAGAACCATAAGCTGTTGAATATCCCAAACTCATTAGACTGGTCACTGGTTGTCTGGTCTCGTCCTTCCTCAAACTCTTCACTGTGCCATTCATAGGGACTGAAGCGGCTGACCAAGAAGAGGACAACACTCACTCCAATGTAGGCAAAAACGATGCACATCCAAATCTCATAAGCCAAAGGATCCAGGAAAGAGAAGACTCCCGGCTTGGACTTCTGTGGCTTTTTTATCATGATAGAGATCCCCAAGCTCATAAATGGCTTGGAGAAGTCTATAACCTCTTCCCGAACCAAGGTGATAGTTAAAGGGGCTACAGCCACATCTGCTCTCTGCAAAAGAAAAATAATATAAAATTCATTTGAGCTCAGCAGCTCTCTTTGTTCTCTTTCTTTAACACTGTGAATTTTTTTTATATCTTAAAGGATGAAAAAGGGAAAGAACCTTATAAGTCAAAATCCTCTGATTCCATAAAATATTTGGCAAATAAGCTATCAGCCAAATATATGATCAGCTCATTATCTTACAGGAGAGATTATCCCATTACTTGGCAACTCCACTTGCCAGAGCTTGCTTCCTCATCATACAAGAAGGAGACTGTTGTGATACCTGTTGTTTTTGCTTGCCTAGCAGCCATGCTTTTGTCCTGTGGCAGGAGAACCACTCTTGCCCTACCCTTAGCCCTCTAGGTAAGGAATGGAGTTGACCACTCTGGTTACATGGGAGGCGTATAACCTAGGTCTGGCCAGTCAGCATACTCCCTATCCCAAAAGACTCACTCAAGAATGGCATAAGGCCCAACAGGTTTAGTGAAAATTAGCCCTGAAGTTCAAAACTGAGAGATGCAGAGGAGGATCCCTGGTGCTGTAATTTGGGCCACTCTAAATTCAGGGCTTACCCCAAAATCCCGAGGAACATATGTCAATACCTTTCTCTGTTTGATGCCAAGAACGTGAGCCAATCCTTCTGTTTGCCTAAGCCAGTTTGAACTGGATTTCTTTTACCTGCAACCAAGATTATCCTGGCTAATGAGATGGGAAAGGCAAATGTAACTCTATAAACATTGATTGAGCACTTATGCATGGAAGCTGCAGGTAAACTCTTTAAACTAGTAGGAGATGAGTGCACACATGCACCTATGAGGTGGACAGGATATATGCTATCCAAGAGATACAAATGCTATAGGATATCAGGGAGGGCTGGCTTTTGACCCATTGCTCTTGCACAAAACAGCATCCCAGGAGGAAGGAATCATGTGAATGATGGCCTGGCAGCGAGAAAGTAATATATATTTGCAACTTTTCCTCCCAGGAAGACTGCAAAGAAATACACAAAAAATTCAGTTTTTAAACTCCAAAGCCAACTTGTTGGTAAACATGAAAAGGTTGCAACAAATGTTCATCTTTGGGCATTCAGCAGTGGAGTCACCAGGCCTTCCTCCTCTGTCTTTCTTACCTCTCTCTAATCACAGAAGCACTGGCATCTACTCAGGAAAAATTCACTGCTCTGTTGGCCAGAGATCAGGATACCATGGAAACCCAAGTGGCTATCCATAGCAGATGCCTATGCAAGTCTGTTTGGGGGCAAATAGCTTTTTCCTTCACAAATGATGCTTTACAAATAGTCCAGATGTAAGACTGGTGACAATTGCTGTGCAGAGGAAGGCCCTGCTACTCACAGCCACTGTTTCTGAGAGATATCGTCTCCTTACTCTCATAGGCTGGGACTAGTACTTTCTGTGGAATTAAATGCTTACAAATGACTTAAGTTTTCACTTATAGAAACTTCCTATATAACAATGTGGAGTCAGGTGAGAACTTCATAGTAATTCTGTTTTTCTCCCTAACATCCACTGCATAAATCTTGATAACTTGTTGCAAGTACTTATAAGCCAGAACAAGGGAGAAGGTATCTACTCTTTTCTCTGTAACTTAACCCAGCACAGGAATGGGAGAGAAATGTATTGTGAATGACTTGGATGGATTGACTGCAAGTTACCCAGACAGTAGATGAAGACCAGCTCAGAAAGTAGAAAAGGGTATTTAATGCATTTGTTTGATGTTTCTTGGCATGAGTTAATAAAAGGGTTCATAAACAGGAAAATTACAAAGCTACATAATCTTAATGCTTAGTTCATTTAGCAGTTCAACAATTTGTTCCATGGAACATTCTTTCTGGTGGGATACTAATAAGTATAACATAAAAATTAACATGTTTAGAAAACATAGATTTAAACAGGTTACTTTGGCACAGAACTTCTAATGTGCTGAGAATTTCCAAGACAGTTAAGTGGGATGCAATATTTCCAAACTTATTTGGCCATGCATCATTCATTTCCCTAAGTATTAAAAGGGATTCAAGCATGTAGGAGATACACATAGTGGGAGGTGTTATGCTAGACTACCTCATTTTACAGATGAGAAATGTAGGTCCAGAGGAGGATGGTGGTTTGATACTGACTGAGAGACCTGAGGTAGACAGCACCTTCTCAGGAGTGGTCAAGGGCAGACAGACTTCATCTAAGAGCAGGAGACCAGGCTTCTCTTCTCTGCAACTTCTCCTCTTTGCAGCTTTCTGATTGTGTAGCCTCAAGTGAAATGATTGTCTTTTTGGATGTTAATTTCCTCATTAGAAAAAGGCGTAATATTTTTTTGTTTTACCTATTTCACAGGATTGTTTCGGGAGGGTCAAAATAATTCAATTACTTGATGACACTGTGAAGTGTGAACACTTTGCAGGCAATCAAAATTATTTTCTTAAGTTGACATCACAGGACAAGGGCTCTCAAGCTCAAGGATGCATCAGAATTGCCTGGAGGGATTTTTTTTTTTTAATTCAGAGGACAGAGTTCCCAGATTCAGTGCATCTGGGGTAAGATGTGAGAATTTGCATTTCTAACAAGTTCCCAGGTGAAGCTGCTGCTTCAGGTCCAGGGATCACTCTTTGGGACACACTGACCTAGGAGATCCCAAAACAGAACATGTAATGCATGGAAACACTCCTGGGAAAACAGTATATAGCTTTGAGGTGGTGGAAAAAAGAAAACGGCGCATGACTACCCAGGATAGAGAACTATTCTGAGCCAGGAACTGTGTAAGTGAATGGTCCCCCTATAGCCTTGTGGTAGGACACTCACTATCACTTCTGTAGCCAGGTGAGCCTTGGAGTTCAACGACTTGCTGGAGTCATGCAGCTCTAAGCTGCCAGAGTTGGAACTCAAATTCAGGGGTAATCCAGGTGTTTATTTGCAAAGCTCACTTTCTTTCTGCTTCAGCAAGATAAAGAACAGACAGAAATACACTTAGAAATAAGATATAAGGGCATATCCATGCAAGAAGCAGAAACTGCATCTGTGACATGTAGCCTCTGTTCCCTTCCTAAGAGCAGCTCCGGCTCTTTTCTCAGTTAATGCCAGATTTACAGTCCAGTATTTGGATGGTTTTATTTCCATAGATGCAGCTTGTCTTAGCGTGGTACACCAGTATAGAGCTGTATGTCCTGACTGCTATACTGACTGTGTGTCCTCTGTCAAATTACCCAACCTCTTTGGGCAGTGTCTTCATCTATAGAATGTGGGAAAGAAGCTTGTCTACCCTATAAAGTTGATATGAGGGATAAGTGAAAACATTAGTGAACTATTTAGCCCAGCACTGGGCACCTACTATGTAGTGAAATGTTAGTGCTATCATTGTTGAGAGACTCTGATGGCAGTTATTTGTAAGGCACAGGAAGAATAAATTTGGAGACCTTAAATGAATTTTTCCTGACTTCACTGATGGTTTGTGATTGAAGATATTTCCCCAAACCCCTCTGTACCTACTTAGGAGAACAGAAAAGGAAAGATAAACTAAACATAAAGGTAGAATAGCTCGTTGGGCCCATTATGGAGTCTTCAGAAAACAGCTTTTACTGGGATGAGGGACAAACCTGGTAAAGGGGGGATATGGGGACAGGTCTAGCAGCCAAGGCATGCAGAGGTGACTCCAGAGCCTCAGAGTTCTGATGAGCCACTGACTGCTGTCATTGGGCTTTCGATCAGGATGGTCATACCACTGTTCTGCCCAGATCACAGACTTTTCACTAAGGGAATTGCATTACATGAGATGAAGGTGAAGAAGAATGGTGGAGAAGGTGAAAAGTTCACAGCAGTTGCCATAGGAATGATCTTAAGAACTTGGAGGAAGTTCCCATGGAAACCAGCCTCCAGATGCAGCATGACCCATCCATGTCTTTATTTCACGCATAGAGCTTCCAAAGTCAGAGGCAGTGGAGGGAAGAGAAAAGGGGAGAAGCACATCCCATCTTCAACCCATTAAGCACCTTCATAGGCATCTCAAACTGCATCCCTGAAGAGTGTTTTCTTTACTCCATCATTTTCTTTGAATTCCCTTTGTTATTTCTCAAGGCCATCATAACTCTTTTTGTCTGAATATGGGACAATGAGATTTACAGTCTTCCTAAGTGATTGCATCCTCCTGACCATCGCTTAACCTCAATGTGGGACTCAGAATGTACTTCAGCTAACTAGGGACCCAGCCTGTAGTTTGCAGTGTATCTGAATGAAGCCATGGCAACCCCTTTCCTGCATGTCCAATTGGATTCTTTCATTGCCTTTTGTTTTCCTCTGCTCAAGTATCTCATGATCTCCTAGAGCCCAATGAATCAGTGCACAGCCTTCCCATAATCATTTCCTACTCAAACTTATCCCTGATCAATCCTCAACCCAAGCCCTCAAGCAAAGAGTATTGCTCACTACCCTCATCACACCTTATTTATTCCTCCACTACCCTGCTTTTGTACTTTATAAATTCCTGGACTGTATTTTCTACCTCCTAAAATGTGTAAGATCCTTGGGGATCTTTTGCTTCTCAATGGCTCCCTAAATACTGAAAACAATGTGGGGGATTCAGTGGTTTCTCAAGACTGTTTCAATTTATGGAAGATTTTATAGCAGTTGTGAGCAGAATTGCTTCAAGTGTGGTGAGTGGGGCAAGGATGGAGTAGAACTATTTCTATGACACAGATAGCTACAAGGCACAATAAGCCATAAAAGAAGCAGAAATTAACTTCTACAGGGAAAAGCCACAATGATTCAAGTGGAAGTTCTCACCTGCTATGGGGAGAAAGAAACGACACTTTGGAAAAAGCAAGATTGGATATAGGTTTTGGAGGAGAGTTAAGAGGTGGAGAGTGGCAGGGGGTCAAGCTCTAGGGAACAAAATGTGTAAAGAGACAGTAAGGCTGAACTGGAAACTATAGGAAAGGGAATATAGGAGCAATTGACTAGGAAGTCAGGCTGGATGCGTCTCATCCCCAAAGAGAAATTTATACTGAGGAAGCCACTGAGTAGGACTGAGTCAGTTAGGACCAGGAACCTGAATATAGCATGTCTTAAGACAATGGGTTTGGGTGACTTATCTGTTCAGCAGTAACAATACTCAATATTGGTGTCTAATGGGCATTTGTGGGCAGGGCCATCTGGTCACCAAATGATTTCCTATCTAACGCTCTGCCTTTGCCCTCCAGTTTTGCACCTTGGGAGGAACTTACTCCATAGACCAGCTCTCCCACCATGCCATTCCAGGCCTTTGTGTCAGGATCTCGGGCTCCATATTTTCCATCGCTGACAATCTCAAGACGGTAGGAGTAGCCTACATGCTTGGCAATCTCTGCTGCCAGCTCTACACAGTAGCCCTCGTAGCGGTCATTGCCCTCAAACTGGTTGGCATTCTTCTTGAGCATCACATAAGGATCCTCCTGGTAGAGAAATGGAGAGACAAAGGCTGTCCATTGTGGATTTGCTCATGGTCAGAGAGTACTTCAATGTGGCAAAGGAGATGTTAACACTGGGGATATTGGTTAACTCTGGGGAAGTCTCTCTAGTCCTTAAATCTGCTTTCTGAATTTCTTCCCCCCCTCATATAAACTTCTTGGGATAAGGAAGCAAACTTTGTTAAAGTAAGAATGTTTCATCATTGAAATATGGTACACAGCTTTTCCAGGAGCTTTCAGATTTTTTTTTTAGATACCTCTGTGGAAAAGAAAAGTAGACCCTAAATAGGCTCCAGAGTTCTCATGCTAGACCATTGAAAAGTTGAAAATAATAGCAGCTTCACTTCTGAGTACTTTATGTGCATCTAGCAGGTGAGAATGGCTTCTAGCAAGAGAGCAAAATTTAGTGTCACCCTTAGGTGGGAAAGTGGTTCAAAAGTGCATTTTGGCTTATCCAAGGACACAGAGTTTGATAGCAAATCTGAGATGCTGAATGAAAACTCAGAGCCTCATTTTCTGAGAATTTATTTTCCACTTCCTGTTTCTATCTATGGCACAGTCTTTGCAGCTTTCCTCGTGAGTGGCAAACCCTTGTATTGGCTCAATTAACCCTTACAAACAAGTGAGTACTCACTAGGATTGTAGTGACAATGTATGTCCTGTTCTGAACACTTGAGTTATCCCCGCCAGCTTGGGCATCAGTGGCTGCAGGAACAAACTTATCATCTTCATTCCAGTAACCAATCTGTTAACAAGAAGGTAGAGTGTCAGGTGGGTCAGGTTCCTCAGGACCAGAGACAGGGAATCAGGAGCTCAGTCACACAGCACTGGGCCCCAGATTGTGAAGTAATGTAAAAAGAAACCAGAGATCAGGTGCCTTCCACCAGATCCCTTTAGTGGAAATCCTCAAAATGGTGGGCTAAACCTGTGAGTCCCCCTCTGAGGGGGTGAGAGTCTAGTTGTTTACACAGCTAAGCTGTTTGGTACAGTGCAAAGCAGGGTTGTGGGGATTTATCTTTCTGCACTTGTTTCTAGGGCCAGGCCCCTCTTTCCCCACCTGCTTATTGACCCTCTATTTCCCCGAGCTCATTCTAAACTTAGTTGGAATCATATGATTAAACACTTTCTATCTATAACTAACTTCCTAGGATAGTTATTTTATCCTTTATTCACTTATCCTTTTCTAAGTATAAATTATGCAATACTGAGTGTATTATAGTGCTTAAGGTTAAACAACATTAATTTTCCAGATACCAGCAGATTATTAATACTGACTCATTTTCCAAGGTTTTTCAGCAAATATTTATTGAATTCCTATTATATAAAAGGTTCTGAGCTAAAACATTGATAGTAGTGTATGGCAGGTTTGACAGAGATTCAAAGAAGTCTAAGGGATAATCTTTGCTCTGAGAATAGCTCTCTTCTACTTGTGAAGACATGAAACACAATACACGTAGTCCAAGAAGTAATGAGTGAGCGGGACTAAGGATTTCAGAGAAGCAAAGGCCAAGTTTGGGATCCTATGTAGGGAAAAAGGCAGTAGGACTCTGAGGTGGGATTAAGGTCAGGAGAAATGGACAGTCAGGGCCCAACCTTTCAGCTTAGAGAGAATAGGAGCTGAGGTGTGAAGGTAGGAATCTTGCTAGATGTGCAGGTTCAGGGGGTCCTGAATGGAAACTAGGGTTAGCTAGGGAGGGCAGAGGGTGCTTGGGTTTAAGTGGCAGAGATCTTTGAAGGGCTAGGCTAAGTAGAGTAGAATATGTCCTAAAGGTAATAAAGAGTCATGGAAGATTCGGGAACAGCAGAGTACACACACACACACACACACACACACACACACACACACACCTATTGAGACATCCTATACCTATCTCTCTTGGTTTCCCTCCCTCTCGCCTCCATCTCACTATTCCATTTCCATCGTCATCTCTTTTTAGACAGTTGTGTTTGGTTTTGTGATCATCTGCAAGCCATAGTATAAAGGAAAGAGAGTTGGAAGGGCACATGCAGAAGGATGAGCAGCTCTGCCAATAGCCAGAGTTCAGCTCAGGCTCACAATCTGAGGCACTTGCCAAATGGTCAGCTCTCAAGTCACCATTATCTTGATGTCTTTCCCAATCCTTGGGTTGGATACCAGCAGTTCTCCCAGCACTCTCGCAGTCATTAACAATAGTAACAATTGCTAGCACTCATGTTTTCACTATACCATGACTAAGTTTTCCAGTCTTTGAGCCATACTGTCTGGCTTAGGAAAGGTGCTGACTTGCCCAAGGTGGTGCAGCTGGAAAGCACCTGAGCTTGGCCTGAAGAACTGGCCACCTGGCTCCAGTCACTGCTGTTTACCATTCTGCTGTTCTTGCTGAGATGGCCCTGCCCTGGGCTGGGAACCATATTAGTTGTTTATTGTATGCATCTTGTGTTTCAGGTGTTCATCTCAGTGCTTTTTGTTTTAATTCATTTCATCCCTTTGAATTCCTATGAGGTGTGTTAATTGTCATTCCCACTATAAATGTGAAGAAACTGTGATGTGGAGAAGTAAAGTGACTTTCCCAAGGCCACAGGAGGACCATGGGGTCAGGATCTGAGCCAGGAAGTTTGATAGCAGGGCCGTTGACTTTACTTCAGGGCACTGCCAGCCAATCCCCGAGGGTCTTGTGTACATTCCCATTGGACTCTGCTCTAGCCACTTTCACATCTGTCCCCATTTCTCCATGGTGCTGCAGCATCATGGACAACATGGAAATGCACTCATCCTAGGGCTCCTGTCTCAGCCTGGCACATCCTTTCATGAGGACAGATGAGCCAACAGCCATGGCCCACGTGTAGTCAGTGCCCACATGTAGTCAGATGCTGAGGCAGCTCAGAGGCTTGAGGAGTGTCTCTCAGGACACCCTGTGGATCACCCTCAGGGCAGGCATGAGCACAAGGCTGGGCAGGAGGCTGTGAGTTCATAGAAGGAGGCATTTCTCGCTAATGACATAAGCACCAGAAACTTGGATTTCCAGTACTGTAGAGCCCAGAGAATCATTTCATTCAACCCTTCCTTTCATGTGGGCAACAGAGGCTCAGTGGCCTCAGTGCAGTCTCACTCCCCTCACTTTGCTGAAGCAGTGCTCCAGGGAATCTTGGGGACCCTGCACTACTTTCATGAGAGGCAGGGAGGTGTTCAGAAAAGAGGAGGAAGCTCTGCACTCCTCATTTCAGCTCCAACAGCAAGCATTGCTCTTAGTTGATTTTATACATTGGAATTTCCCTCCAGAATAGCTTTTTACAAGGAGTCCACTGGCTGAACAGTGAACATTTAAAACCACAGTGGTATATCATGATGTGAGGTAGGGTATTTTGTATATATATTTTAAATCTTCAAGTTATTTTCACATTTTACTCTTATGATCCTTACACTATGCAAATAGAACAGACAGGATTGGGAATATATTCAGTTTTACAGATGGGAAAATGTAGGATTGGAGGAGTTGATGATCTAACATCATTATAGGTTATTTAGCAGCTTAGTGGCAGAGACTAAAACCCAGCTCTCATGAACCTCAAATGCAAGATTACTTAATAAAATCAATATAAATTTGAGAGATTGTCTGCCATATGTGATTATTTTCTATACCAGATGATACTAAAGTGTTTTTGTTCCTTTTTCTCTTTTCTTCTTTTCCCTCCCCTCCTTCCTCTCTTTCTTTTTTCTTCCCTCTTCACAATTAATCCACAGATTTATTTATTCCTACAGAAACTATACAAACACCAATAAAGAAGAAGTTGTTTTCTTTGACTTTCAATTAATTACTCTAAAATCCAGTGTATTAAGAGGTATTATTTAGGCCAGGTGTAGTGGTATGTGCTTATATTCCCAGCTACTTGGGAGGTAGAAGTAGGAAGATCAAGGTTTGATGCCAGCCCTGGCAAATGGCCCTATTCTGAAAAACAAACTAAAAATCAAAAGGACTGAAGTGTGGCTCAAGTGGTAGAGTACTTGAGTGCAAAGTCCTGAGTTCCAACCCCAGTCTTGCCAAATGCACACACACACACACACACACACACACACACACACACACACACGAGTTATTGTTTTAAAAAGGAGGGAGCTCAATGGCTGAGAGATTAGTCTGTCTTCAAACAGATGTGGTTTAAAAGCTGGGCTTTCCTAATTGCTATGACTTTGAGCAAGTTACTTGACCTTTACGAGCCTCTGTTCTAGATCTGTAGAATGATGTACAACAGTACCTGCGTCCCAGGGCTGCTTTGAAGACTAAATGAGTTAATACATGTAAAATAATGATCATAGTGTGGAGTTCATATTAAGTTGTAAGTAATGTCAGAATAAAGTCTGATACTCATTAGTGATGCCTAGTTGAAGGTTAACAGGTTTTTATATTATAACACATTTCAGTTTGCTATTGAACATTAGTAATCTCCAAAAGAAGTATATAATCTAGAGCATTTCCAAACTATTTGACAATCTAACTCTTCTTTTCATACAGAATGTCCCAGGGTGTGGTTCAAAAGTCACAAAACCCTGCTCTAAAATCTCAAATTATTTTGACAAAAGAAAAAAGCAGCAAGATGAATCTGTGTTGATCTGATTTATATAGCTTAGGAAAAAGCTCTAATTGTTAAGGTCAGAGATCCTTTGAAGTCAGTATCATAGCACCAATGTTAAATTGGGATCTATATGGAATATAGGTTGGCTGATTTATAGCTACCTTCATTTTTAATGCTACTAAAATAGTCACATATTATAAACAAGCTTGTTTTATTCCTAACACTCATATGGGAAAATAATACATAATATTGCCAGGGTCAGTAGAGTCTCTCTGATGCCAAAACTCATGCTTATACCTCATGTGAGCTAGTAGATTGGAAAATCTGGTTCTACAGTTTTGTTGGAAAGAAAGCTGGTGAAAATGTTTGAAGATATGTTGCACTTTGGAGATGAGAACACATTTCTCTTTCTTTGGGAAATGGGTTGGATTATTATACAGTACTTTGATTTTCTACTGAGGATATGCAGGGACTTTGATTCTATCTGAAAGTAAATCAGAGTTAGGAGTTTGGTAAAGATGGGGCCCACTGTACAGGAGAGGATTTAAACAATTCTACAGAGAGAAGTCTTCTCCTGGGGACAGTTATGATTTTTGATCTTCTATTTTCCATTTACCTCTAAAGATTCTTTGAATGTAGGAAATGAGTCTAGATGACAGGGATTTTTTTTTTTTAAGTGGATGAAGTTTAAAAAGGAGATGATCATAGAACTGCAAATCCAATTGATCTACCTTGTACAGTCATCAAGTTGAATTTATACATATGATGTCTCCAGGTTGCCTTTGAAGATACATCCCCTGACCTCCCAAAATGAGATCCATTATAATCAATTTTTTAAAAAGTAAGTTGCCTACTGTGGCCAAGACAACTAACTGACCACCAAGTGTTCTTGTATGCCTTCCATAGTGCAGAAATGTTAGTGAGAAGTAGCTACCTAGCCAGAAACTAATTTTCCCAGCATACTTTGCATCTAGTTGGCCACATGACTGGGTCAATGGAATGCAAAGAAAGTCTGTGTATCTCTTCTGCCCCAAAATCTCCACCACATTTCCACTTTCTTTCTTTCGCATCTGATTGCTAAATGTTGACCGCAGAAGTAGACAATGGAGCCTCCATAAACCTGAATCTTAGTCAGAGTCCCCAGGTCAAAAACTAGTCACTGAGTAAATGAGAAATAAATTTCTATCACATTAA